ATTTATCCAAGTAATTAGGCTGAAATAGCCTGTTTGGGTAATAAATAAATGAATAAATAATTGAAAAGTTCATACCGTAACAATATTTGATCATCCCCGATTTCTTTCAGCCTCTCCGAAAGCAGTGGAAGTTAATATTCTTTGAATATCATTTCATGAAAAGTTCTTTATCCTACGTACCGTGATGTAAATCGAATGTGATCCCCGATATACTTTTTTGAATAACTCTCAAAGGTTTCGACTTATTTTCCCCACAAAATGGATACGGCAACAATAAACGAAGGGAAAAAACGCAATTTTATACATCCCTTCGCTTTCAGACTGCACGTTCCAATACAAAACTTCGAAGGTAATAAATGTTTCGTCTGACTTTTTGAGCCGATTAGGAAAGTTTATCTTTCCAGACATTTCGTTAAAACTTTGTTATACTCCTACTTGGTTATTTGTACTATGGAAGCAGTCTTGGAATTCGTCTGTTGAAGATACAGGTGGCTGGAAATATTGAGAAATTCACTTCAGTAAATCTATCTATACTGATATTATAAATGTGAAAGTTTGTGAATATGGATGTATGTATGTATGTATGTTTGTGGCTCTTTCACGCCTAACCGACTAAACGGATTCAGATGAAACTTAACATGAATAGATCCTATACATTAGAATAACATATGTGCTACAATTCACAAAGATATTGTGTAATTTTGGCTGTAATATAACGATAAGTATTACGCAAATCAAAAAATAATATGCAAAACACTGAGCCATAAATACAATTGAATTGGATACTTTTTTTAAAATACACCTTTGAGAGAAGCCCGCGACTTCTCTCGCGTAGAATTTGGATGGTCATTAACCCAAAAATTCAGGTTTCCAACTTCAAAACTGACGTATTTCAATATAATCTTTGAACACCTATTTATCTCCCTTAGAAGTGGAAATTCCCGATTCTCTTTATTGATGCTTATTTACGCTATACAAAGGACCTACCTGCATATTTCAAAATTGTAGCTTCAGTAGCTTCGGCTGTACATTAAAATAAGTGTCAGACATTCAATAGGTAGCCATTTATTCAATACCGACTATTCCTCGCTGTTTTACCTGCGTTATAGTGGGAACCTACCCTATGTGTCATGATCTATACTATAACAATTTTCAGAGTTGGTCACTTCAAGTGCGACGTGGCTAATGAATCACCTTCAATTGAAAATTGTTGTAGTATATCCATATATCAACTAACATTTGAATCCTATGAGCTGTTCAAGTGTGAACATGTAAAGACCGTAAACACACACATTACCTACATTCATCCATCCTCATAAAGCATTTATATCAGTAGGAGGAGGATTAGTGGTATTACCAATGCATTTCATTCTAAACCTTTCAGTTTTTTGCTGATGCTATTCAATATTGCATAAGTAGGTCCCTATCGATTGACCGACACTCTTATTTTACCGTACAACCAAAGCTACTGAACCTAAAATCTTGAAATATGCAGGTAGGTTCTTTGTATAGCGTGAATAAGCATCAAGAAAGGAAATCAGGAATTTCCACCTCCAAGGGGGAAAATAGAAGTTCACAGAATTAGTGTTTCATTTGAATTGAAAGGGGTATAATAATTTTGTTGTGACAGCTTTTCTTCATCGTGAGGCTCTTGTTGTCTTCTGTTTAGAGTCTGTTCCACCATCAATTTATCACCATGAAACATTGTAAACCACTTTCAAATAAATACTGTTGAGGTTCAATTCTCGATACACGAAATTACAGTTACTCGGTGAGTCTCTAAAATATTTTTGTTGGTGTAATCTATGAGCTTATTTTCAAAGATTCCGATTCAATTTATATATACATACATGATATAATATCAAATAGTTGAGACAAAGCTCACAGAGCTATGTACATATGTAGTAATATGAGATATGATCGAATATCAATTCAGAGTCAGATATCATCCCCAAGTCCTTTACGTCATTACATTTTTGAAGACGATGGTAGCCAAAATGTGATGCATTATTTCGACCGAATGCATTAAGATAGCATTTGCGAAGGTTAGGGTAGAGTGCCTCATTTTCATAGTATTTCACAAACCTGTCAAGGTCTTCTTATATCAGCAGATATAATCATTCAAATTAGAGACTGTGTTCAATATTTTCAGATCGTCAGCGTATATGAGGAAGTTTCAAGAAGGTGAAACATTCTGAAATATCATTGAAGTAAATGTTGGAGAGTAGTGGACCCAAATGTGACCCTTGGGGAACTCCAGATTTCATGCGAGTGGACTCAAATATATAATTTCCAATACACACCACCTAACGACGATTACTACTCAAATTTTTCTTCAAACACGATCTGAATTTATTTGAACTTAGGAACTCTTTTTTTGATTTAGGGGAACCACCAATATCACTCAAATATTTCTCAGATAAGAGCTATTGTAATCACCATACCCTTTATTGATGAGCTCGAGACTTTATGAACTCACGAATTCCTAACGCCATCAAAATATTTTCCTCCATATTGCATAAATATTTTTCGGTCCAGGGCGAGTATGATATGCCAACNACGAGTATCTAGTGGACTTCAAAGACTCCAGGAAATCGGTTGGAGGGAAAGATGATACCTTCTTACGAAACTGCAGCTGCATAAACAGTTGTTTGAGTTTGATGAACAAGTAGGAAACATTCCCGTTCTCGTTCATCATTGAAACTTCGTTCTTGAAATTCTTCGTCATGAACAACACTTGTAAAACGCTATTCATGTAGCAAGTGTTTCCTAAATTATCCAATCCAATTTTCGTCTCTAGATTCTCAGGACAACTATCTACTGATTTGTATTTCATTTCACTGCTATTTTATTTCAAGTTTTTTTGCTTATTATAATTGTTATTTTCAGCTATACCCGTTCATTTCTTCTTTTTTCAGTTCTTTCAGGGATTTCAAATCATTTTATATATTATCAGACAATGAAAGTCCGAACTAATGAAATTCATCATTAAACATTGTCAGTCACCTTCAAAGAAACAAGTAATATATCGTTTATAAAGTACTATTATTCTCGTTGATGAAGTCGATTATTATTGAGTGGGAAACATCGAAGACACTTATCTGTGTGTAATTTTTTTGGTGGAAATGTCATAAAGCTCGAAAAGTGGTTGCCCAAGATTTGGTTGTTTTTGCGCAACAAAAATGATCCTTTTTTGGATTGGATCGTCACGCATGATGAAAAGTGAATATCTTCTGTTGATGGATCAACAGAAGATATTCAGGTCAGTGGTTGGACACCCATGAGGCACCCAGGCGCTTCCCAAAGGAAAAACTCACCAAAAAAGACCATGGTTACTGTATGGTGGTCACCGGCCAACCATTACAGCAGAGTCCTATTGTGAGGAAAGTAACGAAAATTTCGTCATCAGCAGCTGACACTGAACAACAAATGACTCATTAAATTGCATCTTCTGCACCAATCTATATAACATTACAAGATCAGGAACTTTCATTCATTTTTTGCATATAAAAGGGAAAGTAGAAAGCCAAAATCCTCCACCAAAATTAATCGCTTCTAAAAATATACCTCTTTTATTTACCATTCCATCATTTGAAACGAATAGGAAACCTTCAAATGCTATCTTGACAATGCTATATTTTTCAAAACGAGCTTCTTAATCGTGGCCACTCAATTATTTCCACCTGGAAATCAGAAATAAACGATTTATATACTCCCGCTAGCATTTCTTTCGATTCCCCAGCTTCATTTTCAATTTATCGATTGTCCTTTTGCGGCCATTTTCCTGACGTATACCAAGGAAAGTTTATTAAGACGCCTCTAAGATGGTGAGTGCCAGCTGTTCTTGTTTCAGGAAATGGGGTTTTTCGTGGCAAATAATTCACCACACTGAATTATTAAGGGAATTAACTTGCGCAGGATATATTGTCTTTTCTACTGGCGCGGTCACTCCCTCGAAGCTATTTATTTGAAATGAAACTACCCTTCAGCTCGGTTCGGGCGAGTACAAGGACAACCCTTGAAGAAATGTGGAAAAAACTGAAAAATAGGGATAACAGAGGAAAAATTTGTCTTGTGATTTTTCAGAAGTTCATATTTTCAAAGATGATGACTTTATGTGATGTAATTTTGAAAAGTCAGGTAATGAAAATGTGAACATTATGAAAAAATCATCAATCCATCGAATGGATGTGATACTACACCAAACTATATCTATCCAACAAGAAAGCAATCCAAACAAAGATAAATACGTGATCATAGCATGATCACCACGCACAATTGCATCTATTGGCTGAAATAAACAAGCCGTCCCACGCTGGCCAATCAGATTTAACTGCAATCGGCTGGCGGAACTCATTGTTACAGTGTCAGAGTGGTCAGTTATGTTTCAATATAATCAATGTTGAAACTCTTTATAGGCCAGCCCCGTGAAGGCTTTTCTGACATCAACAAGTTGTTATATATGTGCTGTTGTAGTTTTTATGATGTGTGAATCATTATTATAATAATAAAATGAGCAAAAAGTTCATGAATATATTAAACTAGTGATCTGACATAAACGATAATATACAATAAAAATCACAGTTAATAAATACGAACAATAATACAGTACAAAACACTTGAGAGCAATCCATTAAAAACGACTCATTTCACTGAATTCCTCTTTCCATTCATTCTGATCAATTCTAAATTGCATTATATTTGGAACGGTTTTCCAGCTACCGATTTATTGTCCACGCAATATTTGATCAGACTGGACCAGTTTGTGTCGGCTTTCAAAACGTTCGCATTGCCAACTACGATTAGCAAAGCTTTTGCTCTCGTCAGAGCCACGTTGAATCTCTGTAAAAAATAAAATAAATCTGAAAAAATTGTCGAATTTTGCTGAGGGTAATATGTTCTTTGAAGGGAATTTTTTGTAGGGCAGTCAAAATTTCTCGATTTTTTTTGGATTCTAACAATCTCAAAAATAAATGAGTCTAGAAAAAGTTCACCATTCTTTGAACGGTATTTTTTGTAGGGCAGACAAAATTCCTCGATTTTTTTGGACTTTACCCTGAAGCCAAAAAAAATATTTCCCTCTGATAACCATGATTGCATATCAGCTTTTTGTTCGATTCGTTCATCACGATATGATGCATTATCGATCCACCACAACGTTTTCTAACGGCAAATTCGGAATCAATCTGAGAGATGAATCAATACTTCATAACTATGCAACACGAAATAGATATTTATTAACTATCCCAAAACATAAAACATCGACATTCAAGGAATCACTTGCATATAATGGCATAATATTATTCTATACGTTGCCTCAAGAAATTGAAGATTTGCATATTATACCATTCAAAAAACAAATAAAGGAGCTAATAACTAATAAGAAATATTATAATGTAGAAGAATTCTTAGAAAGGGATACTCTGTTATGATGATTATTGCTTTCACTGCATTTCTTTCACCCTAGTTAAAGATGAATTTACTTTTATGTATATTTATGTATACCGGGTGTCCCACATTTTATGTGACAGGCAATATCTGGTTTGTTGAAGGAGATACACAAAAATGTTTCATATAAAAGTTTTAGGAGTTCATGAGAGCTATATTTTGATATAATTTTTAAATATACAGGGTGTTTGGTGTAGGTGCTACAGACCAAAATT